ATTCCAATTCCGCATAGCCAAGTCACCTACTAATAAGATGTCAAGATATGATGTGAGTAATTTCGCTTTAAGAAATGACTTCTGGAACATATAAAATCTGAACACAGACATACATTATACATTGGATAATGCAGCTTTCCAAATTTAATTTGAAAAGCACCAGTCACCAAATGGCATTCGTAATCTAAATCTCCACTCTTGAATGGTTATCACAGTACCTACCCATATAGGACAAAGCAACAGGTTTATTCTGATGCCCACCATCCAGCAGAACATACTGTACCTTTCATTTGCTTAACTACTAGGAGAAAAAAGGAATCCCTGTGCAAAATCCAAGTTCTTGTAGTTAGGACCCTCTCCACCCATCTATGTGACAGCACTTGGCCATATGGGAGAAAGAGAAGTGAGCTGCATGCTCTTCCTTATCTGGAGCTACTGTTTTTTTTTTTCTTTACTCTTAAAAGTGGTGGAGTAAAAAGACAAAAATAAATATATATGTTGTTGAGAAGGGTGAAAACAAAGCAAATTTGTGCTTTGCTTCATGGACCAAAACTTATGAGTTAGATATCAGTAAGCATACCAAGTTACTGACTTTACAACAGATTTCCAGTAGTTATATTTAATTATTATTAGTATTATACAGGATTTATATAGCGCCAACAGTTTGTGCAGCGCTTTACAGTATAAGGGAGGCTGTACAATTACAATACATTTCAGTACAGAAGGAATAGGAAGGCCCTGCACGTGGAGCTTACAAGCTAAAGGAAGGGGGAGGTGATACTAAAAGGAGATAGCTGTGGGGGATGATCTGGTGGAGGTGATTCAAGTACAGTTATTAGGTGGAGGTGGGGTAGGCTTCCCTGAATAAGTGAGTTTTCAAAGATCGCCTAAAGGCAGACAGGGTGGGTGCTGACCGGACATGCTGTGGTAGGGAGTTCCAGAGGATGGGAGAGGCTCTGGAGAAGTCCTGGAGGCGAGCGTGGGAGGAGGTGATGAGGGAGCTAGAGAGGAAGATATCTTGGGAGGAGCAGAGTGGGCGATTTGGGCGGTATCTGTGGGTGAGGTTGGCGATGTAGCTAGGGGCAGTGTTGTGGATGGCTTTGTAAGCTGTGGTTAGTATTTTGAATTTTATACGTTGGGTTAGTGGAAGCCAGTGAAGGGATTGGATTTAATACAGTTTTCATTGGATAAATGGTCAGATCAGTACTCATTTCTGGACTGCAGAAAATCCTAATAGCAGCCTACATCCTGGAAGTGACCTATTTGCAACTCTGTATGTTAGTATTACTTAGATGGTAAGGATAACATACTCATTACAAAGCTGTCATCAACACATGCTGGCAGCCCTGCTTGTACGATGAGGGTTTATAGAGAGTTGAAATGAGCCCAGCATATATTTTTAGCCAAACAGGGCGGGCAAAGATTGAGAGCTATTTCCAGAATGCCTTGCGTTGTTCTCTAGTAATGAAGTGATTAGTTAGTACTGCCTGGAGAGAAATAAATGCTAAGGAAGCAAGCCGGTTTATCGGTTGTAAGCAATGGAGCTGTGCTAATTATGCCAGGTAGAATAGGTGCATAGCTGATGGCCACAAGGCAACATACTTCTATATTGCATTTTTTTCCATACGAGCTTGTTTAAAATTCGACTATGCATAAACCCTCACGCAGCAGGAATAAGAGCATGGCCTCAGCAGCACTCTCCACTCTTGTCAAAAGACATTTTATACGCAGTAATAATCCAAGTGTAAGATTCTCTCTGTCTTCCCTTTTAAGGTTCTTGACACATGCAGTTTATTCATGAAGAAAGAAAAGAAGTAATAATGAGATGTTCATTCATCCAAAGCTTCCCAGCTTAACCAACAGTCCAAAGAAGTAAAAGTTAAAAGGCTTAGGGCTGGATTAGGTTTGCAGAAACAGCAGTGTATTCAGAAAACTGCACTGTTCCACTGAATTAATGTGACGTGCATGCACCTACAAACAGTACATGGAGACATTCTGTGATCTAAACCACTTTCAAAAGACTATTATTTCATTAACAAAACCTGCGCATTGTTCCTGTTGCTTAGTGCACATTGGGGTTGGCACTCACTTATCTGTGGACCTGGCAGGTACTCTTTAATTAACTTGCTGCATTGCCATTTCACACTTTTTCTAGCTTTTCACATTTTCCATATGTATATGTAAAATACTACAAATGCTTTTAAATGCATTTCAAAGACCAAAGATTCAAACACATGGGTACTACTTCATATATTTGTATGCTGTACATAAATGTAAAAGCATAAACTGTAATGGTAAATCAGAACTCCTAATGAACCTTTTCATGAAAGGATAATGGATATAATGGCGAAGGGTCTGATCCATTGTCAGGTTTTTATCATTGCTGTCCTGGAGGCACAATGAACAGATAAAAACTAACAGAGAACCTAACCCTTTCCCCCCTATATCCAAAATTTCAAATCAAAGTTTTAAAGAAGAACTACAGCCAAAGTTCATTCTGCACTCCTTTTACCCATTTTCAGCCAACAGCAGGCTACTTTTTTATATTAGTAATGATGGCAATCGGCGACTTATATCAGGACTGCGGCAGGCATTCTGACACTGGGTGAGAACTGACTAGCTGCCACTGACATCAACAGTGACACTAATACAGTGATCAGTGCTAATAAAAAGCACTGACACTGTACTAATGACACTGGGCAGGAAGGGGTTAACATCTGAGGCAATCAAAGGGTTAACTGTGTGCTGTGTGTGTTTTACTAGGGAGGCATGCTGTTTTGTATCTCTCTGCTGTGAATATCCATGCTGACAGGAGAGGGATCTGTGTTGTTACAGTTTATGCTTTACCAGATGAGCGCCGAGTGCCGGGAATAGCCAGCCGGGACCCAGTGATTGACATCCCTAGCTGCCAATAGCAGCATGGGTATGGCGGTGCGCACGTGCACCCTACCTGTAAATGCAAATCATGTATATATATATATATATATGTCATTTTGCACAGCCCTGCCGCCCTGTAGCAGTACTTCTGCTATAGGGCAGTGGAAAAGCGGTTAACCAATTGCCTACAGGGCACTTACACCCCCTTCCTATCCAGGCCAATTTTTTAGCTTTCAGTGCTGTCACACTTTGAATGACAATTGCGGGGTCATGCAACACTGCATCCATATGAAATTGTTATCACTTTTTCACACAAATAGAGCTTTCTTTTGGTGGTATTTAATCGCCGCTGGGTGTTTTATTTTCGGTGCTATAAACAAAAAATAGAGCAACAAATTTGAGAAAAAGTTTTTCTTTGTATCGATTATAAAATTTTACAAACAGGTAATTTTTCTCCTTCACTGATGTGCATTGATGAGGCTGCACTGATGGACAGCACTGATGGGCACTAATGAGGTGGCACAAATAGGCACCATTAATGGGCACTGATAGGAGGCACTGATAGGCAGCACTGATGAGCTGGCACTGATGATGCTGCACTGCTGGACAGCACTGACGTTGGCCGTCACCCCATTACAGGAAGTGCCTGAACATGGACCTTCAAAGTAGGATCTTCCTCCAGGTGCTATACCTAAAGCGTATCTAAACCCAAATACAAAAATGTAACAGTAACACACATTCTCTGTCCTAGGGTTACAATGTACACTTGCCAATACTGTATCTATGGGGTAGCAGCATCATTAACCTAGGACACTCTGCTCATTTTGACTACAAGCTCCTCCTCCTCTCCTCCTATCATTACACGAGGGGAGGGCGTTCCGTAGTTCACATAGGATAGATAGAAAAGCTGTTAATGTTGTTTGAGACTTTAGTTTACACGAAGGTGCAAGGACTAAAAAATTCTGGAAAAAACAACAGGTAATTTCTGTCCCTGCAGAAAATGTACTTGCCCTGAAAAAAACAAACTAATGCAGGCACCACATCTATGGACTGGTAGGATACAATACATTACATTTTTGCTCTTGGATTTAGATACACTAACATTATTTCCACTCCCCCACCATTTCAGCACCCCAGCAATGCAATTTGTTCTGGTTAGTAATGCCCAGTATTGTCCACAACTGCAATATTTTTGGTATAACCCCTCCCCATTGCTTTAGCACTGTACTGTATTGTGAGGAGGCAAGTAGCATGTCATGTGCTTCCACATACTGGTTAAAAAGAATGTATAAACACTATACTTAAGCCATATCTGTAACAGAACCCATAGTGAGCAACCACATTTCATCCACCTACCTAGGAGCTAATTCAATTTTAAATCCTAAAACCATTACATTAACTAGTTTAATTGTGGAGAAAAAGTATTTGTTCCTTTACAATAGGGATAAAGTCATTTTGTGGTTTAAACCACTATCCAGATAGAAAGGAGTGTTATCACTGTGGCAAAATTCACAATATATTAAAGTTCATTTGTGGTTGTGCAGCAAATGATATGCTGTAAACAAAGAAAGTAAATGTTTGAGACCCTATCATTTTTATTCCAGTTATGTATTTAATATTATTTAGAAGAGCATTGTTAAAGCAGAATAAAACCTATCAATTTAATGATTTCCCAAAACAGTTACATGAGAAAACACAATCTTACATAGAGGGGTTGGCTATTCTGAGTTTAACCACTAGCCTACAGGGCACTTATACCCCCTTCCTGCCGAGGCAATTTCCAGCGCTGTCACACATTTAATGACAATTGCGCGATCATGCACCACTGTACCCATATGACATTTTTATCTTTTTTTGTGACAGATAGAGCTTTATTTTGGTGGTATTTTATCACCTCTGGGATTTTTATTTTTTCTTAAACAAACCAAAAACCACTGAAAATTTTGAAAAAAAAAAAACGTTTCTTAGTTTTTGTTATACAATTTTGTAAATAAGTGATTTTTCTCCTTCACTGGTGTGTGCTAATGAGGCTGCAGTGATGGGCACTGATAGGCTGCAGTGATGGACACTGATAGGTGGCACTGATGAGGAGGTACTGGTAGGTGGCACTGATGGGCATTGACAGGCATCACTGATGGGCACTGAAAGGCAGCACTCATAGGCAGCACTGTTGGGCACTGATGCACACTGATAGGCGGCACTGACTGGCACTGATATGCGACACTGATTGGCAGCACTGACTGGCATTGATAGGTGGTACTGACTGGCACTGATGGGTGACACTGAAATACAGCTCAGATGGGCACTGATATGTGGCATTGATGTGGCACTGATAGGCACTGGCAGGTGGCATGGATGAGCACTGACAGCTGGTACTGCTGGGGCTACGCAGATCATCAGGGCACACTGATCATCAGTGCCCTGATGATCAATGCACATGTCCCCTCTGAGGGATGCCGATTACTGGCTCTGCTCTCCTCTCGAGCTGTCAGCGTGACAGCTTGTGGGGACAGAAATGCTGATAACCGGCATTTCCCTATTTACATGTGATCAGCTGTGATTGGACACAGCTGATCACATGACCAAGCCAACATCTTCAGCTCTTTCCGTTGCTTGGTGATCCGCTGTGTCCGAGGGACACAGCGCACCACCGATCGCCGCGCTGCACGCTCCTGGAGCAGTGCATGCACGTTTAGAATGGGACGACGTCATATGACGTCCTCCCAGAATGAGAGAACCGCCTTGCGCCCATCATTACACTATGTGGTGGGCGGGAGGCGGTTAAAGTGGAATTAAAGGTTTAGAATTAACCAATTCTAAACCTACTCTCAGCCACATTCTAAGCCTAATCAATCTAGCTCTGTAAAGAAAAAAAATCACTATACCTACCTGTTCTGCAGCCGGTCCGGTCCAGTCCTAGGCTGAGCTGGTAGTAGCGGCTTCACTGTGTAGCAGTGGCAGCTGACAATAGAAGCCCCACTTCACTTCTCTCTATGGGTAATGTCACTTCCCAGCCATTGTCGGCTGCCTCCTTTACCGGAGCGGCTGCAGAAAAGGTAAGTATAGCGATTTTTTTTCTTTACAGGGCTAGATGGGTTAGGCTTCGAATGTGGGTGCGAGTAGGTTTCATGTTAGTTATGTTTTTGCCTATACTTCCCCCTTTAGTCTCTGCATAACTGCTTTCACAGTTTGTCACCCTGAGGTTTAGTTCAGAGCTCCAAGCTAGGGCCCAGGGAGAGGAAAAAACTTGGCTATCTTGCCACCCCAAACTGGAATCTTTAATGGCTATCTCTTTCTATGAACCACTCACTAGCAGCTCCCCACTTAATATACCCTAGCCAGGGAAAAGAAGTCCAGCCTAGACTGACTGGATACCACTCTTAAAAGGGACACTTACCACCTCTGAAACTGGCCATATATGGTTCAGCCTGCGAGTGGAATGAAATAAAGTGAACTGAATCCACCATCCACACATGGTAGATCGTCTTCTGTTCAACTGTATTGGCCACATATGGACAGACTTTGGTCAGTCTCTGCTGAACTGGCTGAATTGTAATGGTTGTTCAATGGCTGGAAAGCTGCATGGCCAGCTTTACAATGGAGTCACAGAGAAACATGAGCCCATTCAAAAATAGCTCCATTCATCAATGTACACACATTTGATAATTAACAAATCATTTAAGAATCAGCCCTGGGTCTAAGACTAATATAATTATTTCCCAATTATTCATAAGTAAAATGATAATAAAATTCAAAATCAAATGTTATCATAGCTTAAAAAAAATTGTTACATCATTCCCCCCCCCCCCCCCCCCCCCCAGCCACTTTTATTCTTTTCTCCATCTCTGCTTCTATTTTGTGTTCTCAACATGTTAGCTTCTATGCCTCTTCAAGGGTCCAATTTTTTTTTGTTTTTGTTTTTTTGTTTTACACAGTTAAGCCCCAAATCCAGACCAGCTGATAGCCAGTCATTGGGCTAGATGAACCAAATATTTGTCGTCTTTAATATCTGTAAGATTTTGAACTGTGGACACCTATGTATGACAATCTCACTGCTGCTCTGGATCCACCTATTTGCATCCCTGTTGAAAATCAACTCATGTGTATTTGCTAAATTACTTCTTTTAGTCTTGTATGTTTTCTCTCCTATTTCCAAGGCAAAGAGAACAGACATTTAGTATTCTGACCCTGTTGTCTTTTGCTGTACCTAGCTCTGTAATGACAATAAGCTCAAAAATTTGTTAACTTGTACATGTTTGAGCCTTCTTTATACACATTTTCCAATAAAAATATTGTAAAAGAAAAAAAATAACTTTAAATGTATTATGAATATGAAGTAATTCAAAAGAAAATAATCTAAATAATGTTTTAAATGAAATTTATGCATAGAATGAAGAGTTGCAAGAAAAAGTATGTGAACCCCTTGGGATTACGTGGAGTTTTGCATGAATTGGGCATAAAATGTGCTCTAAACGTCATCTAAGTCACAACAATAGAAGAACACAGTCTGCTGAACATAATACTACACAAACATTACATGTTATGTGCAATTAAACCATGGCAACATCTAAACATTCACAGTGCAGGGAGGAAAAAGTATGTGAGGCCCTAGCTTAATGACTTCTCCCAGAGCTAATTGGAGCCAGGAGTGAGCCAACCTTGACTCCAATCAGTCTGATGATATTGGATGTGTTGCTGATAGCTGTCCTGCCCTTAAAAAACACACACCTGTTTTGGGTTTACTGGGTTCAAGAAGCACTGTCTGATGTGAACCATGCCTCGCAGAAAAGAGCTCTCAGAAGACTTACAATCAAGAATTGTTGACTTGCATGAAGCTGGAAAGGGTTACAAAAGTATCTCCAAAAGCCTTGATGTTCATGTGTCCATGGTAAGACAGACTGTCTACAAATGGAGAAAGTTTAGCACTGTTGCTACTCTCCCTAGGCGTGGTCGTCCTGTAAAAATGACTGCAAGAGCACAGTGCAGAATGCTGCATGAGGTAAAGAAGAATCCCAGAGTGTCAGCTAAAGACCTACAGAAATCTCTGGCACATGCTAACATTTTTGTTGACACATCTACAATAAGGAAAACATTAAACAAGAATGGAGTACATGGGAGGACACCACGGAGGAAGCCATTGCTGTCCAAAAAGAATATTGCAGCACGTTTGAAGTTTGCAAAAGAGCACCAGGATGTTCCACAGCACTACTGGCAAAATATACTGTGGACAGATGAAACCAAGATTGAGTTGTTTGGGAAGAACACACAACACTATGTGTGGAGAAAAAAAGGCACAGCACACCAACATCAAAACCTCATCCCCACTGTAAAACATGGCGGAGGGAGCATCATGGTTTGGGGCTGCTTTGCTGCCTCAGGGCCGGGACGGATTGTTGTCATTGATGGGAAAATGAATTGCAGAGTTTATCAAGACATTTTGCAGGAAAACATATGACCATCTGTCCGCCAACTGAAGCTCCGCAGAGGATGGGTGATGCAACAGGACAATGACCCAAAGCATACAAGTAATTTAACAAAACAATGGCTGCAACAGCACAGAATACGCCTTCTGGAGTGGCCCAGTCAGAGTCCTGACCTCAACCCGATTGAAATGCTGTGGCATGACCTTAAGAGAGCAATTCACACCAGACATCCCAAGAATATAGCTACACTGAAATTGTTTTGTGAAAAGGAGTGGTCCAAAATTACTCCAGATCGTTGTGCCGGTCTGATCTGCAACTACAGGAAACGTTTGGTTGAGGTTATTGCTGCCAAAGGAGGGTCAACTAGTTATTAAGTCCAAAAGTTCACATACTTTTTCCTCCCTGCACTGTGAATGTTTACATGTTATGTGCAATTAAACCATGGCAACATCTGTTTGTGTAGTATTATGTTCAGCAGACTGTGTTCTTCTATTGTTGTGACTTAGATGACGTTTAGAGCACATTTTATGCCCAATTCATGCAAAACTCCACGTAATCACAAGGGGTTCACATACTTTTTCTTGCAACTGTATAATCTCAAAGCCAATCAAAAGGGCATTTATCTGTTAGGTCACTCTCACATGGGTGGACTCCGCCATCCGATCTGCCTGCTCAGAGGGAGATCTGTCTGCTGATCCCCCTGAAAAGGCAGATGACAGGTCTGTGTCCACTTCGCTTATGCAGAGTGGACACAGACACAGTCCGCTTTCCTCTATGGGTGGTCCGATGTAAATGAACCACCTGTCCATTTACATCCGACTGTCATCTGATCCACTAGGCCATGGGTTTCACACTGGTGGCCCTCCAGCTGTTGCGAAACTACAAGTCCCATCATGCCTCTGCCTTTGGGAGTCATTCTTGTAACTGTCAATCTTGCAATGCCTCAGGTGACTTGTAGTTTGGCAACAGCTGGAGGGCCACCAGTTTGATACCCGTGCAATAGACAGATGGGGAACAGATCCCGCATCTGTCTGTTTTTAGTGGATCAGACTGGATTCAAGCGGGTGGAAACAGACAACCGCCACAAGTTTATACCTGCCGCTCCATAGACGGCAATGGATGATCCAAACAGGTCCGTCTGAAAAACAGACAGGCGGACCCAATCGGTCAGCCCATCTGAAAAGTAACCTTAACTGAAAAAGAAATATCCATTGCAAAACACAGGTAAACCCAAAACTTAGCAATTAGTTAAAAGCATGTCAGATTTTCTAATCAGCTAAATAATAATAATGCTAAAGAATGCTCTTACTGGTGGGGGTGTAGAAATGAATATACAAGATCACACAACCCAAGTAGATCAAATATTAAAGTATGTTTGTCATGACCATTACTGCAAAGGACACCTAAAGCACTCAGTACTAGATCGAATACAAGTGAACTGGGTGCAAGGGTGATAGAACACCCCTGACAGTTTGGTAAAACGTTAGGGATCAAACATAGGACTGCCCTTCCAAAATAACCTAAAATCGCAGTAATTTAAAACAAGGGCAATTCCTACAGTCAAATAGCAAAGAAAGGGAAAAAAAGGCTGCACACCTAATTGGCTAACCTCAAATGAGTTTTATTATGCACCATAAACAGTAATAACCATCGGAGATATGACAATCCTACACGACAAAAAACACCCCCCCCTCCCCAGGGAATTCAAGAGGGAGAGCCCTCAGGATGACCACATGATATGTGTACCCTCTAATATAGCCAAAGCCAGATGGATGAGCACAATAATGGCGATACTGCAGTACAAGGCAATCCATGCAAATAAAGTAGGAGAGTAAATGACACTTGTGCCTCCTGCTGGGATGGATCAGTTGTCAGCAAAGCAAGGTGTTACATACACATTGAATGAGGATAACCAACTTGTAACTTGGAGTCCAGTGAGGGGGGTGACGGGACAGGAGGGTCTTCCATCTAGGGGAGGGGAGTGTTGTTTCCTGGGGGGGGTTGTTAGGGGGTTGGGAGGGTGGTGGCGGGTGTTGGATCTTGGAGGGTTCCAGGTAGGATAGTTTTCCATCCTTGGTCCGTTGTTGAGGGCTTTCCCTCTTGAATTCTCTGGGGGAGTGGCGTCCTTTGTCATGTAGGATGGTCTTATCTCCGATGGTTATTACTGTTTATGGTGCATAATAAAACTCATTTGATTTTTTGGCA